TGAGATGTGAATGAGCTTTTCTGAAAGAATCCAGCACCGGGTTTCCTCATTCATTCTCCTCTTTCTCCCCTGCTACAGTCAATGTGACTCTGGATCCTATCACAGCACATCCTCGACTCTTCTTGTCAGAGAATCTGAAGGTTTTGCGATGGGACAGGGTACCTCAAGACCTGCCTTACAGCCCGGAAAGATTCAAGAAGCAGCCCTGTGTGCTGGGTTGTGAGAAGTTCACCTCAGGAAGATATTGTTGGAAGGTGGAGATCCTGGATGGGGAAACACGGGAAGAAGATCTGGGCGGAGAGCCAGCTTGGGCAGTAGGGATCGCAAGAGATTCTGTTGAGCGAAAGGAATATTTCAACCTTAATCTTGATGAGGGGATCTGGGCTGTGGGGAAGGCATGTGAGGACTTGACTGTGCCTTGCCAAATCTCAGCTTTTACCATTGAGCCAACCACTGTGATTTTGAAAAAAGAACCCAAGAGGATCTGTGTGAACCTGGATTATGATGCAGGTCAAGTGGATTTCCTTGATGCTGATACTGATGACCTTATCTTCACTTTCCATTCAGCATCATTCTTTGGAGATCAAATCCGACCCTTTTTCTACACAAGGGGATGGGAGTGCAATTTGAAATGTTGACTCATGAGGAGAACCTTTCTCACATTTCTCCCTTAGCATTGGTTGCTTGTGACCACTAAGGCTGCATCCGCACTGCAGAAGTAATCCAGGTTGACACCACTTTAACTGCTGTGGCTCGGTGCTATGGAATTCTGGGAATTATAGTTTTGTGAGACATTTATCCTATGTCAGAGAGCTCTGGTACTACAACAAACTTATGTTTGTTAACTGCCTTCGCATTGATCCCAACCCATGATGACCCTATGGATGAGACATCTCTAGGCCCCTCTGTCCGTTCCTGCTCTGTCCAGCTCCTGCAAACTCATATTCGTGGTCTCTTTAATAAAGTCCATCCATCTATAGTTTTTTGTGGGTTTTTCGGGCTGTGTGGCCATGTTCTAGAAGAGTTTCTTTCTGACGTTTCGCCAGCACCTGTGGCTGTGGATAGAGTGAAAAGAAGATGCCAGCCACAGATGCTGGCGAAACGTCAGAAAGAAACTCTTCTAGAACATTGCCACACAGCCCGAAAAACCCACAAAAACCTATGGATGCCAGCCATGAAAGCCTATGATTCCATCCATCTTGCTTGTAGCCTTCGTCTCTTTCTACTTCCCTCCACCTTTCCTATCATTATTGTCTTTTCCAACGATTCATGCCTTCTCATGATGTGTCCACAGTATGACAGGCTAAGTCTTGTTATCTTGGCTTCTAGGAATATCTCTGGCTTGATCTGCTCTAGGACCTATTTGTTTGTCCTCCAGGCTGTCCATGGGATCCTCAGCACTCTTCTCCAGCACCACATCTGAGAGGAGTTGTTTTTCCTCCTATCTTCTTTCTTGACTGTCCAGCTCTCGCATGCATACATGGTAATAAGGAATACAATGGCTTGTATGATTCTGACTTTTGTGCTGAGTTGTATGCCTTTGCATTTTAGGATCTTTTCTAGTTCTTTCATAGTCGCCCTCCTCATTCTTAATCTTCTTCTGATTTCCTGACTGCAGTCCCCATTTCTATCAGTATTTGATCCCAGGTATGGGAATTCTTTTACTATTTCATTTTCTTCATTGTCTAGGTTGAATTTGTGAAGGTCCTTGGTGGTCATTATTTATGTTTTCTTTATGTTCAGCATTAAGCCTGCCTTTGCACTTTCTTCATTGATCTTCCTTAGTAGGTGTTCCAGGTCTGTGAGGCTTTCTGCTATTACGATGGTGTCATCTACATATCTTAGATCAGGGGTAGGCAACCTTTTTGAGTTATGGGCCGGGTTGCTGTCCCTCAGACAATTGGTGGGCCGAAGCAATATATATATATATATATAATTTAAATTTTTTAAAAAATAAAAAGTAATTCCTACATACATTGCACACATCATATTTTGAAGTAAAAAAACAAAACAGGAACATATACAATATTTAAAATGAAGAACAAGAACAAGTAAAGTTAAATAAACAAACTTTATTCTGTATTAAATAACAGTGTATTTTAATGAAGAACAAGAACAAATAAAGTTAAATAAACAAACTTAATTCTGTATTAAATAACAATGTGTTTTAATGGGAACCCTGGGCCTGCTTGAGATGGTCAATGTCCAGTTCCATATTTGTCACTGCCACTCGTAACAAGTGATTCAAGTGTTCATCAGTTAGTCTAGATCTGGTTGGCGATTTCAGTTGTTTCATCCTAGAAGAAGTCTGTTCACAGACATAAGTACTGCCAAAGATGGTTGCCATTCTGAGTGCATGGTTCCTGATATTAGGATATTGCTCAGAGGGGAGAGATGTATAGAAATTTAGAAGGCTGCTTGACTTGAATACTTCTTTCATAGAGTCACAACTATGCAGGTCACACAGTTCCATTTGGTAAATTGAATCCGCATTTGCAATGTTAAAAGAAAATGAGTTACGGAAAAGCTGTATGCCCTGTTCATGGAGATGAAGCTCTTTAAATCTACCTTGAAACTCGCTTTGTAACTTCTCCAGTGAATCCACACGTTTTTGTTGGGAATGCAACTGATGGGTTTTCCGCTGACAGAATTTTAGTAGTTGGGAAATGGCTGAAATGTCCCTCATTCACGTGTTTGATGAGGAGGCCTAATTTTAGTTCAAATGATTTCATGGATGTGTACATATCACAGATGAGCTTCCCCTTTCCTTGAAGTTCCACACTGAGACTGTTAAGGAACTCTGTTACATCTGTCAGAAAGGCAAGGTGCCATTTCCACTCTGCATCATTGAGCTCTGGTACCTCTTTGTTTTTGGAAGCCAGAAAAGCTGCAATCTCTGGAAGTAGGTCATAGAACCATCTCAAAACTCTCCCTCGACTCAGCCAACGGACTTCTGTGTGGTACAGAACATCTTCACAGTCAGCATTTGCCTCAGACAGAAATTCCTGAAATTGTCTGTGGTTCAATGCATTAGGTCTAATGAAGTTAACACAAGATTTTCATAACAAGAGTCCCACTTCAGTGATTTACTGCATAGCGCCTGTTGGTGGATGAGGCAGTGTATGGTTATTGGCTGACAATGATTATGTTTTTCCATCTCAGTTAATTCGAGCAATTACTCCTTTCTTAGACCCCACCATGCTAGGAGCACCATCAGTTGTCACACTGGCTAGTTTAGCCCAGTCCAGCTCCAAACCATTCATAGTTTGGGAAACCAAAGATAATAATAATACTAATACTTTTTATTTGATATCCCGCCCCTCTGAGGTCAATCGGGGCGGCTTACATAATAAAATCATAATACAACATTTAAGAACTATTTCCCCCCCTCCCACCCCTTAAAAAGTTATTAAATCTAACAATTTAAAAAACAACATATAAAAAGAGGATATGTGCCTCTATATAAACATCAAAAAAATAAATAATACTACAACAAGAAAAGAAGCGCTGGGGTCAGAGAATAAAATCTCGACTCTGAAGAAGGCCTGGTCATAAAAGGGGAGGGAACAGCTCCAGAATATTCTGGGGCTTTGAGCTGGTAATTATTCCGGGAAGGCCTGCCGGAAGAGATCTGTCTTGACAGCTTTTTTAAAGCTGTCAAGTGATGTCAATTGGCGGATCTCTCCTGGCAGGCCATTCCATAGTTTGGGGGTGACAACAGAAAAGGCCCTCTGGGAGGTAGTCACCAGCCTCGTTTTTTGAGGCTGTAACAAATTCCTCCCAGAGGACTGGAGAGTAAGAGGAGGATTATATGGGAGGAGGCGGTCCTTAAGATAGCCTGGACCCAAGCCATTTAGGGCTTTAAAGGTAATAACCAACACCTTATACTGGGTTCGGAAACGAATAGGCAGCCAGTGGAGAAACCTTAATACTGGGGTAATATGGTCCCACCTAGATGTTCCAGATATT